AATGTGCAAATGAAAGAACTATGCCCACTGACTGACACGGTCTCAGTCACGGCAGGTTCGCCTGTGAAGGGCAACTCAGACCTATACACACGTAAGGAGGACCCTGTTTCCAATGACACAGGAGCACGCACAATAGGCTGGCAGCCAACTCTTCGTCTGTTGGGCCGCCGTCGATGGTTGCGAAAGGAAGTTCGGTCCTACAGGGTGTGTCAACACGCGGCTTGGTGATGCTTTTATTCAAGCTCACCAATGGTCCATTGGTAGTAAAGAGACATTTGATGAAGAGGGGGGGAAAGGGTGTTCACAGGGGCCGGCGTGAGTGTAGTGGCAGGAATCGACATTTTAACTGACCGCCACACAGGCGTTATCCTGACATACCTGTAAGAACACCAGTGCGGCGGACATAGATGATCTCCTTCTGGGGGTGACAATTGGATCAAAAATTTCAACGTAAACACAATGCCCACCAGGCACTCACTATCTATTCCATTACAGCACAAACAGAGAATACAAACAGAAGAGCCACATGAGAGACCTGCTACCTGACCAATGCGCGCCAGACATATCCTGCCGCAAACTCAGCATCCGAGCTAGACAGATTTCCATCTATACGATCATGTCAGAAACCTCGATGTATGCCATGCTTTAGCCTTCCAGACACACATGAATTATATGTATGGTCATCGCGCATGGTCGCCGCATTCATGACTGCTTTCCTTGCAAGATAACCTGAGAATTGAGACCTATCAGCATCGGTACAAGTGTGAACTCAACCATGTACATTTCTAATATCCTCCGCTGCTCCGCCCCTTCTCTGATGAGTGCAAAGAGGCCGGCATATGGGGGAAGAGGCCAAAAAGCGTATGGGGACCACCCCAGACCTTCCCATGATGCGAGAGTGACTTGAGAATTATCGCTACAGTCGCCGTACTCTACAGTGGTCAGCAACACACTGCTAGAAGAGTCTGGTGTAGGACCGGGTTCCTTTGTCAGCTATCAGTCGCAGTGATTGTTGCACAACAAGTTCAACCGCGAGCCTCAAGACCCCAGTTGCGGGATCACACATCATAGCGACATGCTCATGTGAGAATCGAAGCTGTTTCTATACTCAAACTACTACTGCAAGCAAACATGTTTGTTCCCAGCCCGCCATGAGAACTACTGCAACTCTGACAATGATTTCAAGTTTAATGACTCAATGTGCACAAGCAGCCCGTCTGTGGGACCCATGCAGATTCCCTCTGGCATGTGCGTACTCAGAAAGCTCAAGGCCTCCAGCCGTGAGCCCGTGAGTTGGCCCCTCCACCTCATTGCCTGCGCGCGGCGAATACAGGCCTGCTTGCAGGCATACGCCCGGACACCGTCTTCCCAGCCCCTATTGGCAGCCCACCGCTTAGCCATATCTGACAGCGGTATTATCTCTCCCAGTGTACGTCGTCGATCCCACACTTCTGCAACCGACTCGTTAAATGCAAGCACCCTGTGCATCTCCTTGTTAAGAAGTCAGACCTCTTCTACCCACCATTGTGCTCTGGTGCGGCTCTTGCACCATTCAACCATCAGTTCTATGAGCAAGACATCAGTCCATTTGATACACTGGTAAGAACTTGGCAATGTGCACCGTCAGTTATCTTCAGGCCTGAGTCTCCACTGGCCGTGGTCCAGATCCAAGAGATGTGTCGCATTGTATCTCCATATCTTGAAGTTACAGTTGCGGTCTGTTATATCAGTGAGTACTTTGTCCTCCGTCACCACCTCCATCTCCTTGATTAACCCGTTGCTTAGCTAGATATGCCACCCGATGGTGCTAATAAGCTACCACGGCTTTCTTCATATTTGCGCTGACATTGGCCTGTGCGGTGAGTGATCGCATGCTGGCACGTTGACCACACGTCTGGCAGCAGCTGTGGCGGTGCAGGCATCTGCGCAGGCAAAGTTGGTGCCAGAGGTTTTCAAGTTTATCGTCTATTGACACCCACCAAATATTCACCTCCATGTTGCGTGCAGTGGAAGACGCGCTGTCCATAGACATCCTGCGGGGCGGCTGGGAAGGCAAGTGAAGTTTTGCTTTCACGGCCGTGGTGCGGTCAGGCTTGTGCTCTTTGCACGTCAATGCTGTGTAAGGTAGCTGGCATCATGCGCTCTTGTATATCGCAAAACTCGACAATCATACATACGCAATTGTTCAGAGCCTGTGTTTGCGAGGTGATCTGCTTCTTAGTGCCTGAATCCTCTTTGCCAGGGCCCATCGTCGCACTACTCAATGACAGCTTGGCCCTGATAGCCAGTCAGCACGGTCCACAAGCCGTTGGTATCCACGTTGAGCGTCTTACTGCTCGTTCTCAATGCCGAACCCATGCAAGATGAAGTTTGTCAGGTCCACGGCGTGCTGCTCTCCGTCCTCTATTGCTTTTCCAGCCGCACTGACACCAACCGCCTCCTCGCTCCCGTCGTTGACCTGCCGCGCCACCTTCTCTAATGAGGAACCTTGTGCTTTTGCTGTCTCTAGTCTGATCTGGGCCACAGAGAGGCCTGCGTCGCGAGTCAGTGTTGCTTTGCGTGGTGGCTTCTGACCACCAACTATGCTCCTTCTCGATATGATACGGGCTCAGCTTGGTGTTGTTGAGCTCGCATTCGGATACCTGCGCCTGCGTAGAGCTTAACATATTGGGTGCTTCAGTGCAAATGGCTTTGGTGAGCTCCATATGGATGACACACTACCGCATCACCTCCTGCAAAGCTCTGACCATCTGATTCTTCAACAGTCCCGCTGTGACACATCTCAGTGAATGGTCAAAACACGCGCAACAAGACAATCACCAATGCTGCACATCTTCTGCCAGTTCCAGTATCCACACATGCCATCCATTGTATTCTGCATTGAATCCGGCCCCATCTCCCACAAGCTCGACGTCATGGGGTTTGCGCCTGACCAGATACGCTCGCAGCCCTCTCCATCCATCGCGCCTGCACCAACCAGCCATATGAAAGCTAACCGGACCTAGCATGCAACCTTATGTGCATAGAGGTGGAACTTTGGTACAGTGTACTTAACTTTTGACAAGAGGATGCTTGCTGGCCCATTTTCCTTAAGCCACAACACAAACTTCGCAGCTCCTGCACTCAAGGCTCTTCCGCCCGGCACTCGCGAGAGGCGCTTCTCCAAATTGCCGCTCCACCGGCACACAATGTCATACGAGACGACTACAGACCCAAGAAGCCCAGCGCACAGCCAAATATGTAGTCCATAGTAACATACCTGAGCCATTTGTCAGCTACCCATAGATGAAGAATAGGAGAAGGAGCCCACCACTCCTCTCAGCGCAATGTGGCGATTCCCTGCGGGAATATGTGATTGTGACAAGCACATGAAATGCCTGTGATGCCTGTTGTTTGTAGCCCGATTGCACCTCCCTTATGGTTGGCCATAGCCATAGCTCTGAAGCGGGAATAAGTGCTTGGCTATATGATGTGTCAGAAGGTCAGTATTCGTTCTCTGCTCAGAAGACTTCATGTAGGAAAGCAGGGTTGGGTGAGAGCAAAAGAAGCCAACCTTCACGGCATCCAGTCCCTCAGTGGCTTTGATATGCACAGCATAGTCTTTCTCCTCCACCATATACGCCTTTCCCTCGGTAAGGTTCAGATCTGTTTGATGCGACGAGTGTGTGAGGCAGTTGGACAGGCAGAAGCTTGCATTGATTGACATGAACTTTGTATACATTCCTCTGCGGGCCGTCAGATCTTCATGCCTGCATGCAAGCCAATGCACCCTTACTGAGGAGGTAGTGTGGCCCAGTTCTTGGGAAGGTTGTAGTCTGAGTTAGGACACACTGGGCATATGACGGCGCATGCTTCGGGCAGGGTGCCCACAATCCCACCTGGCTCATGGCCCCTGCCAGCTTGTTCGAATATAAAGATGTGTCGGAACTACCAGATACAGGTCATAAAGCACTGCCAAAAGTCCTGTAAAAAGAAGTCAGTTTCAGACTGTGTTGAGCAGGTGCCACAGGCCGCGATTGCGCACCACAACCCCTTTGGTTAGTGCACCATCCTTTGCCGCCTCCAATGAGCGGACAAAGTTATAGCCGTTGAGTTTACCGTAGAGAGAGAGCCAGTGAAAAAAGTCAAGAGCTTCGAATGTCGTCACAGACTCCAGTTCCCTGCAAGTTGCAGGCTAGAGGTGCCACCACAGCAGCTGCACGTACGGGGGAACGTCGCCTGCAAGTAGTGTATGCGCACTACCTTGATCCTGTTTGTATGCACTACGGTGAAGTTTTTGACTGTATATAAAGCTCTCATACCACAGGTTTCTCCAGGCCGATAGGAGAGTTGTATGCTGAGACCGAGGTCCTTCGGTTCTATGTTCTTGTAATACTGCCCATTGCAGCACTGCCAATCATCTGAGCAGAACACCGTGGGTGCGGGTTGACCTTGCACTTACCTGGATGCTGTGCAGCGAGTTGTACTTGTGCCAAAGTATGGTGCACTCGCAGCAGAGTTCCGCACAGTGGCAGTCCAGACAGTGGTAGTCCGGCATCCCTTCCTTCTCGCAGTGTGGGCAAGTAAGGTACAAAGCCTCTGCACACCAGTCGAAGCGCAGCACCTCCCGCAGGAAGAACTTCCTGAACTTGTATGCCCATGCGAGAATTGGGAATCTCTGTTCATGGTCAATGAGCGCGACTTTAAATCAAGGTTCCCAGAGGGAGTGCACTGTAAATGCGTTTCTGGTGTGCGGGTCCTTGCTTTTGCTGTTTTTTGCTGCGGCAGTCGATGGGGCTGGTCCCTCCGAACAGGCCCATAAAGGTACAGCTGGCCCGTTCGAAAGGGCTCCCCCCGTTCGAAAGGGCTGCTCGGCAAGTCCCCCGGACGGCCTAAGTCCGTCATCGCCGACAATCGGTGTTAAGTCAAAGCTGACTTAATTCAAGCAGAAATTGCTCGTGCTCGTGACCGCAAAACACATGTTATTTGCGACAATCGTTAAAACAGACAACTCTACTACGTTAACGTACATGGCGCTGACTCGCCCTAGCACCTAAACCCTCGCGCGTATCACCCGCCAGCTGTCCGCTCTCTCGCAACTGCTGCCCGCTATCCGAGAGCACTGCGAGAATGCCCAGTACTGTTGAAATGTCGCGTGCCGCCGCGGCGAATTGCTGACGGTCGTCGTCATGCATGGCCCAATGCGCGAGGCACCACACAAGTAGGAAGGCTCCCTTGTACCCCCGCGCCTGTGTGAACGTCGCCCAGTCCATGTTCGAGCCCGCCGGAAGCAAGTCTGCCACGCTTGCGGCCGTCGCGGGCGCTCGTTCGCTCGGCTGGAGCGCAATCCACCACCGCACGAAGTCGCGCCCGAAGCTAGCTGACAGTTCAGTCGCAGCTACAAGCGCCCCACGGGCCTTTACCATCGCGCCGACCCCGGACGGCCGACGCGCGTTCGGCAGCTGCTTGCTACCAGCTGGATCCTATGCACATACTATTCATTATTCAGCGTGACTTCACGAAAACACCACCTACCCAGCTAGACTCATGCGCGAGAAGAGCCTCCATCTTCTCGACTACGTCGGCGTATGCCCTTTTGTCGTCCGCGCCGCCCAGGGCATGAATCGCGTTCACGACGACGGCTCGCTTCTCCCTCGCGTACGCATCCCACGCTGCACCCGTTACAGACGCATATGAAGCACCCGAGTGACGCTTCGCCCAATCCTACAAAGCGCATTCGAGGTCAGTCATATAATTAAGATACAGGTACAGGAAGGACATACGTTCTCAAATGCTAGTATGTCGGGAACATTGTGTTCGTCAATCTACGCTCTCGTCAGCGAACTATGCTTGATACGACCTGATGTAAGTAACGCTCACCGCCTGCATTACGGAGTCGTCATTCCCGGTGACGGGATTGCTCTCGTCCTGGGATGAGATACGTCAGAGAGTGCCTCGTTGTAGAAGCACGGATGCCACTTACGTTCTGCTCCTCGTCGCTGTCCAGGACGGCGCGGGGTTTCTTGCGGGCGGGCTTTGGCTGTGTCAACTGTTGAAGTGACGACCCGGAGAGTGACTGGCGCTGGCGTCGGCGCGGAAGTGGCGCAGTTTCGACCACATCTGTTGCAGTGGTAGACGTGCCGCTCGCAGAAACGGCAGTCCCTGCGAGTGCAGCCTTCCCGCGAGAGGGTTCCACCCGCGTAGGCCTCCCAGGCGCATCCGCCAACGTCGCGGTGGTACGCGCAACCCTTCCCGGCAATCGCTTCGGCCTAGGTTTCGACTGCGCCGTCTTCTTGCGCTTCTCCGCATACCACTCCTCCAGATCCGTGTCTCTCCCCACCCTCGCTGAACCCGCCCCTTGCGTACCCTCAGCAGTCTGCGCATCGCCGACAGGCGCCGTCGATCCAGCCGCCCCGCCTGATCCAGCCGCGTCGCCGACGGCGTTTTCGGCCCGTCTACGCTTCGAATGATATCCCTCACGAGGCTTCTTGGGAGCAGGATTCTTCTGCTTCCTGTCCTTGTAAATCGACTTGTGAAGGGTATCGGCGTCGATGCCCTCGTCGTCCGTCTCGGCCGGCATGGACATACGCGACCCGCGCGAGACCCCGCTCGAACTCCCAACCGTCGATCGCGATTGCGACGCAAGCCGAGGCCTACCACCACCGAAACTGCCGGCATCGTCCTCCAGCGCGGGACGGGTTCTGGCGTCTAGTTCCGCCGGCCACATCCAGTCAGTAGTCGGTAGCGCCAACTCCTCCTCGTCTTCGGTGGGGTCCGCGGCAGCGAACGGATATTTCGTGCGATCGCCTGCGGCTAGTCCTGGCAGTGCGCGGGCAGTCTCAGCCGTTATGCGTTGGTTGGGCATGACCGGGCGAGACCCGAGTTGCGACCCGAAAGGCTCAAGGGACGAGCCGCCGCCGTGCCGATTGCCACCTGCGCCGCGATCCTGCTCCCTGCTCTGAGAGCCCATATAACTCCCGGGAGCCTGCGATCCATCACAAGAACCTCCGTAGCGAGCCAGACCACCCAGAGGGTCCAGGATAGGAGGACGCGGACGACTGTCCTGGCCAGCGCCCTTCGCGCGCGCATCGCGGTCATCGCCCCCTGCCCCTGAGCGTGCGTCTGCTCCTTTGCGCAGTGCGCCTGGCGCAGACAGCTGGTCGTCGCGCCTGCTAGAGAAGGTATCCATCTCGAGCCCGTGGCCCAACGGAGAAGAGCTTATCGAGCGAGACGGCTGATGTGGTGCCCGAGAATGTCCTCGTCCGCGTTCGCACTGAACAGGAGGTACACCTGCAGGTGCAGTATTCATGGTGCGAGATCCACCCGCCTGAGCGTATGTCAGCGCTTTGAAAGAAGTGGCGAGCTAAAGCACAACGTACTTCGAACATGGGTCCAGTGAGATCCTCTTCGTCGTCAGACGCGTCGTCGGCGCCTTTCCCATCCTTTGCCTTCTCCTCTATACCATCTGCGACCTCTCCTGTGAGAACATCCTGTGCGTACATGCGCATTTGGATCTTCGCGTCGCGCAACGTTATGCCCATGAAGTCCAATAACGTTGATGAACCGGCGCGTCTCGCACCGGAGCCGAAAATACTGTGAAGGCGGTAATTAGAGTCCGCCGAGAGCGAAGGGCATCTCCCTACGTACGTTTGACAGTCGCCACGGCCCGTGTCATGCTGCCCTGCAACGAGAAGCGTTATTGCGACACCATAACGCAAGCAGAGCCAGTCCACGAGGAGCTGGAGAAAAGATCCCATCTCGGGTGCAACCCTAGGTAAACGTCAGCTACGCCAATGTGCGGACGACTTGAGAAGCCGACGTACCACGCGCATGAGTTTGCCATCGTCTGGTCCGGATTACCAAAAAGGGACTTGTAACGCTCCATAGCGTCGTCGTACTTGCCACGCGCGGAAGCCTCGAGCTGACCAACAAAGTCCTTCGGCTCGTGAGACAGGCTCTGCGAAGCGAAACGGCACTCTTCGCCGGCTCGACACTTGTGAAGCTCCTTCTTGGCAACATCATCGTCCAAGGCATTGAGGCGGTCTTGCCAGTATGTCGCGAACGCATCTTTGTAGCGCTCGCTATGCTCTCGTTGATAAAGATCGAGTGCACGAACGGGCGAAGGGGCAGGCGCCAATGAAGCAAAGATGCGTTCAATGTGCCGCTTCTGGAGCGCAAGTCTCGAACTGCCACCCGCGGCTCCGCTACGACCTTCGCTGTTCTCGGCACGACGTTGACAGCCATACCATCTTTGTACATACTGAAAAAATGTTAGATTAGTTTACAGAGGGAAAGAAAGCAAGAAAGGACGCGTACAGCATGAAGGGTCTCGATATCCTTGGCTCTCTGTGCCGACGACTCGTCGTCCAACTCAGGCAGCGACGGGATATTCTTATACGTCCAGGTAGAGTCCGATAACGGCGCCGTTTTGGCGCATGTGTCCGGCCAGCCCAGCGCGCAGAAGATGGACCGCGTTGTGTTCGCGTAGAAATTAGTCTTCATCTCCTTCACGTCCGGACCGTTCTGGTTTGGGAGCAACTCTATGTCGCGCAAGTCGGGCTTGAACCGTTCCAGATGCTTGGCAATGGTAGGCGTAACGGAGAACTCTTTATCTTTCTTGGGCGCCATGACAGAGAAGATGAGCGAAGACAGAGAGCAGCGTGCAGCGCGAAATGGGGGAGGGTTGAATGATGGCGTCGAACGAAGGCGGCGGCTTAACTGATGGCGTCGAGCGAAGGCAGCAAGTATACGGAGCCGAAAAATCGGGACGCCGAGGGCATGGTGGAAGTCCACCGGTCCATCCGCAGGCACAGCGATTGGGGCAGTCGAATGTGCGCGCGGGGCCTGGACGGGACGACGTCCGGTCGCCTCAGACTCTGCGCTCTGCAAAGTTAGCGCAGTAATGTCAGTACTTGTGTCTTACGAGTTCCCGTTAGAGACAAACCTTACTGTGTGATGCAGTGCGATATAGAATCCAACCGAAACCAGGAAAGCTAGCAAAGACTGCATCGCTGGCGCTGAGCGTATGCGTACAGACGCCGCGGAGACAGTACGCACGGACCCAAATGTCGTACATGCGCCACATGCGTGTCAATAAGCAGTATATCTGTCCAGATTCGAAGTACGATTAGGTGTTGCCACCGGAGTTCTAATATTTCGCATCACGTACCCGAGTCGATCACCACCACCCGCATCGAAACGTCGGCTTATCTCGGTCCGGTCTCCAGTCGTAAGCCATCCGCTAGTGAAGAGCGCATTGGCTAAGTATTCTTTACAAGAACGCAAGCGTAAACGTAGAATAGACGTAGTTAGAGTCTGAAGCGAGTCTCTCCGTTGGCGAATTTGAACACGCAAGGACGCGATCACATGTGTAACGCGCGCGGTCGCCCCTCTGCCAATCGCGCATGATCTACAGTTTACATTCATACCCTCTACCGAGTTCATTGGAACTATACATTTACATCGCTATCGTACCGCTACTACACGCCTAAGTCAGGTAAAGGAAGCGACAGCAGGTCCCAGTCCTTCCAACCCGTCATCGCTTTCTCCACAGCCTTCAACCTCCCTGGCGCCCACGATGGTTCGTGTTGCTCGCGAAACTGCTCCGTCGCAGCCATGACAACGCGCCCTGCAAAAGATCCGGGTTCGCGCCCCGCGCGAGGTATGTTCTCGCAGTAAGAAACGGCCCGCTCGAAGAATCTCTCCTGGCGGCGGTGCCAGCGTGTGAGTATGACCCGTAGTTTGTGAGCTTCAGCCTCTAGGCGACGCAGCTCGTGCTCACAGATTCGCTGCAGAACCTGTCAGTGATATTCGTCAGGCTGAGGAAAGCCCAAGCCCGGCGCGTATGCAGCGAGTAGCTCCTCTGTATCTGTCATGTAGAACCCAACCCCGCGCTGTTGATCGTCAGAGGACAGTAGGGTGGTGAGAACATGCGGCGTACCAAGCCACTCTCTTCATCAATGCACCCGGTGTCGCGTATCGTCATGCCGTACTGAGCGATGTGCGCTGAGCGAATATGCGCCCATCCGATGACGTCCATGCCCACGCGTCTGTACGCAACCTCCACGCTCGACATGCTCAAACGACACTGATCCGTGTCGAGATGAGAGTCCGCGTCCATAGCCAATACAGAACATCCAGTCCACCGCTCGGTCGTGAGCCCCAGAGCGCCAAACACTGCCTCGACCGCGTTCGTCGCCTCGGGATCCAACCATAGTGGATCCACCTCGTGCATGCATCCTTCGAGTGGGCAGACCCACCTCGCCTGCACGTCATCGGCGCGATACCAGTCACTGGGACGGCTATCCGTGCCAACGATGATGCGCAATACACGGTACACGACGTGGCGCAGTATGATCTTGATGTCCGTACAAATTACGCCCTCTTCGTC